GTGGCCGTCAGTGATTTCCCGGTCTATGACGAATCAACGCCGCCCGATGAGTTTATCACGCGGTGCCGGCGTCTGGCCACACTCGGCGACATTCCGGGTGAGCAGCTTTCGGCCATCATGACCGTGCAGTGCCGCGGTCTGGCTCTCCAAGTACTGGAAGCGGATCATGGCCAGACGGACGTCCCGACCCGGCTGCAGAAAACGTTTGGCGACAGGTGACCGAAGACCGCAGCTGCGCAGCTAAGTACCGCCCGAAATGGTAGTATGCCAGTGCCCAGTACTTGACTACTTTGTACTGATTCAGCAACTCGTCCGTACGGCATGCCCCAAGTTTTTCGACGAGTCGGGAATGGTGAAGAAGATTTGCGTCCCATCCCATCAGGCTGCCCTTTACCGGCGTTTCCTGGGGGGTTTGTCATCAGAGGAGAGAGTTTTGCTGTCACGACAGGGTGCTAAATCGTTCGAAACAGCGGTCGACGAGCTGAAGAGAGAGAGAGGAGTCTATCTCCTCTTTGACCGATGAAGAATGCCGTCGTTCGCGTGGTGTGCATTGGGCAGAGAACTTGGCGGTTCGGGGTGCCTACGGCGGTGATCTGACCTTGTCTCGGTGTGACCTGGGCCCCGGCGCGCCACCTGCCTGGGGCGAGCGCCGAGGCTCGGCCTCCCGTTTGCCGCGCGGTGGCCGGTCGCTTAGCCCACGTGACCCGGAGTGGGGTCAAGATGAGACGGCTACCACCTGTCGGAATCGGGGCGAATCACCATCGGCTCGCTCCCCCGACAGAGGCGACATCGGGGCGGGACTGCCTCGCGGGACCGTGCGCCGAGCGACCGACCGGGGGCGGCGCTCCCCGTCACCGGCCGGCAGTCGTGGGGCTGGGCGCTCTGATGGGCGGCGGGGAGGGGTCGGCGACCCGCGCGACCGGCCCTCGGCTGGTGAGAGGCGGTCTGCTGAGCTGGCTGGTGAGCGCCGTCGAGAGATCCAGTGCTGGTCATGCAGGGGCTTCGGTCATTTGAAGAGGCACTGCCCAAACGGGCAGCTGGGCAGGCCGGCCGGGGAGTGGTAACACTCCCCACAACCAACGTCAACATCAACGGGTTCGTCGTAAGCGATGCGCTGGTAGACACTGGCAGTCAAGTGAGTTTAATTGACAGCCGTGCTCTCAGTGTCGTGGCCCCTAACGTCGAACTGCAGCCGCCTGCCCGCCTGCTATCGGCTTCAGGACACCAGCTTAACCCTCGCCCTGGCAGGGCATTTTTCATAACACGGCCTGGCAGGGGGGGGGGGTCGATGCGACCCCCCCCCTCGCGATTGGCTCCTATGGCACATAGAAACACCAAATTCGGCAGGTAGGTGGGCCCCCTGGAGTTCTCGCCCCTGTGCAAATTTGGTTGCTCTAGGTCAATATTTAGGGGGGTTTTGGGGGGTATAAATGTAAAAATTTCGCTAAAAACAGGTCAAAAGTTTTTCGCTTATAACTTTTGATCTAATTAAGATAGAGCAAAAAGAAAAGCACCAGTGAACTCAGCACGTCAAGGCGCGTCGAATGATATACTTTTTATCTCGCTTAAGTGTACTTAAAGTTTTTCTTAAATTTTAAGTAAACTTAAATTAATAAATTAAGTTAAAGTTAACCAAATTGCATCATATCGCATATCATTCGATTCGGCTGATCACCAGGAACACAATGGTACCATTTTTTAAGCTCTAGCGTCATTATTTGCCAAGTTATTGGCAAAAACGTCATTTGACCTCAGTTGACCTCATTTGACCTGACCCATGGATAAGTACACCAAACAAAGAAGCACCAAGTGACCTGCTGTTAAGTACTGTGGTTTCAAAGCGCAAAAGTGATAGAACGAAGCGGATATCTCCAGTATTTTCCGAATTTAGTATTTTCCCATAGGCTTAACATTACGACGTAATGACCTCTAACTGACCTCAGGTCAGTGACCTCAAAAAACCCGAACTATATGTTATACAACTCGGTGAACTTAGCACATCCTGAAAGTTTGAAGGAAATCAGTGCAAAACTGTGAGTTGGACAGGTGCAAAAAGACATTTGAAATTTGACCATGACCTTGTACCGGTTTTTCTGACCTGGTGACCTGACCTAAGGTCACCCGGACCTGAAATTCTCAGGTCATATGTAAAAAGGTTGCCCCATAGGCTGTTACAAATTTGGCGGCGCTGCGCGCCGCCGTTTTTACGCTATCTTCGAAAAACCTTAGGGGGGGGGGGTCGCATCGACCCCCCCTGCCAGGGCGAGGGTTAACGTGCAGGGGACGTGTACATTGAGTGTTGGGGATGTGGGCCTGGGAGTGCAGGGGGAACCGACAGAATTTATGGTGGTACATAATTTGTTACACAACGTGATCTTAGCGTGGGATTTTCTGTCGAAGCATAGCTTTGTGTTTAATTGTTCGCAAAGTGAGTCTGTTAAGGTCAAACTGCGGCTCAAAAAGGTTGTTTCTGTTCCGCCGCACTCTGCTGTATGTATGACGGTCAAGGTTGACCAGTCTTTGTCTGAGGAGGACGCGAGTATTTGTTCGTGGGGCAGCGTTCAAATAATATTGAGATATGTGACACATTGCTAAAGCCGTTCTCGGCGGTCGAGATTCCGGTGTATGTGCGCAACCGTTCCGGTCGTTTAATTACGATCCACCGTCGGAGTGTCTTCGGCTATGCGGATCGAGTCCAGCACGTGGAGCTGCACCAGCCCGAGCCTGGGTGTGGCGGCGGTATGGGGCCGGAGGGTATCGGCGGCGCCGCGGAAGTGAACACAGTGTCAGCTGATGACGGACGGTTTGCGGGAAAGACTACCGATGAGGTGCCGCCCGCATTTGTCGTCGGCTCCCCTATTACGCTGTCTCAAAGAGACAAGTTGGCGGCCCTGCTCAGCTCGTTCCCTGAAGTGTTCTCACGTGGGTACGCGGATATAGGTCGATGACTCGATACACGGGTGGTGATGTAGACTTGAGCTACAGGAGGAAGCGCGCCCTCAGTTTATACGCCCTTATCCGGTCCCATGGGCCCGCGAGAGTCAGCTAAAGACGCAGCTGGATGAGCTGCAAGCGTGCGGTGTCCTCGAGCAGGGGGAGCCATCGGACTGGAACTCGCCTATCGTTCTGGTTCCAAAGGGTAAAAGCTCCAACGAGTACCGCATTGTACAGGATATGCGGTGCTTGAACAAACTTCTCGTCCCGAAACAGTTCGTTTTCCCGACAATTGATGATTTTATTTTCTCTCTGCATGGGTGGACGGTTGCCTCAATAATAGATATGCGTTTTGGAACCTGCAACTTTCTGAATCATCTAGTAAAATATGCTCTTTTTACGCCTTAGGAAAAACGTACTATCCGCGCAGCATGCCCATGGGTTGTGCGCAATCGTCATATTTTCTTCACCTTGCTATGCGAAAGGTTTTGTTTGGGTGATCTTGAGCATGTTCATGTATATGCTGATGATATTTTGCTGACGAGTTCGAGTGTTGAAGAACACTACCAGCTGTTACATGTCGTTCTCGAAAGACTTCGCGCAGCTGGCCTCAAACCAGCAGCTGTGCCATGAATCGTGGGTGGCAGGAACAGTCCTTGTTAAATGGGGCAAAATACGCAAAATTAAACAGAATGATGCTTCAGCCTTCAATGTTTTCGTTGCTCGGTTCAGAGTCTAGACAAGCCTTTTTCATGGTGAAATTTACCTGCCATTTAGGATAAATGATAACAATAACACGTCAAATAGATTGCGCCAAATTATTGTTATCATTTATCCTAACTGTCTTGGATATTCTACATTTACCTGCCATTAGCTGAAATATGTCAATATATGAGATGCTGTCCACGCTGCCGTACGTTTCGTTGCGGAAAGTAGACACTGTTCCTATTTTCCGCAAGCAGCCGCAAGTGTTCAGCCAATCAGCGCCCGCGCTCACGCCCGCCATATTTGTTTACATTTTGATGACTGAAAATATTCGTCTCGTATTTGTGTATTCCTATATTTGATTCCAGGTGTTTCGATTCAATCTCATGCCTGATGATTTTAAGGTAAGAAAATCACACTTTCTCCTGAAACTAGCATCAGTGGACATTTCATCTCTTCGTGTTTGGGTGGACACGTAAACGGCGCAACTTACGACATTGGTATTGAGGTCGTTGGTTAGGTCTAGGTCCAGTCTACAACATATCACTTAACCGAGCTGTCAATGATAACGTACTTACGGAGTAATCATGGCTCAAAAATGGGCATCAGAATCGCTATGGGTGGACATTCGGAGGTAACAAAGTTTATCATATGGGGAAACGTTTTGCCATAGATTTGGTGGACATTTCGAGGTATCTTAAATGCTTTCGATGGACATTTTGCAGGAAAAAAGAGGCGCATATATGGACATAGTTTGTTGATGTTTGGGAGGACATTAAACAGTCAACAAAATTCGCATGGAGGGACTTTGTTTGAGGACTCCGCAACCGTATCGATGGACATTGGACACGATTCGGAACCAAATGATGGTTGCATGGACATATAGCTACAGCACGTGGCTGACTGATGATAACTGACGCGTCGCGCATGCGCACATCATATACAGTCACACAGAACAAGGCCCATTGCAGAAGCAGCTCTAGTCGGCCATGTGTCCAGCCCCGCTCCACCGCTTCTTGTGCCAGTGTTGGTGGCGACACTGGTGTCGGTGCTTTCCACCCTGGCGGTGCTGTTGACGCTGTGGGTGATCTCCACCTTCTGCTGCCGACGGCGCGCCATGCAGACACCGCCGCCGCCCGTGCAGGTGGAGCACGGCCCCGACTCATTGCTACCCGTGGTCCGCGACGAACAGCCCATGCGCGACCCTGAAAGTTGTCGTCTACCATTAATTAGACCCTGCCTGGGAGCTGGATCGGCAGCGGCTGAAGCTCGGCAGTTCGATTGGCGAGGGCTATTACGGCCGCGTACTGAGCGCCAATTTCAGTGTGCCGGGTGGCGGGTCCGATCCGGTGGCCGTCAAGATGTTAAAAAATAACTTCTGCAAGGCGGACCTCATGGATCTGGTCTCTGAGATAGAGTTCATGAAGATGGTCGGCAGACACGCCAACATCGTGAACCTGATCGGCACGTGCACGTGCGACGGCATGCCGCTGCTCGTGCTCGAATTCGCACGCTTTGGCAATCTTTTAAACTACCTGCGAGAGCGGCGCGAGGCAGCGGGCTACGAGCGCCATGTGGAGGTGCCTTCCCTGTGCGAGCTGGTGCAGTTCGGATACCAGGCGGCTCGCGGCATGGAATACCTGGCCAGCAGAGCGTGCGTGCACCGTGACCTGGCGGCACGGAACGTCCTCGTGATGGACTCACGGGTCGTCAATATTTCGGATTTTGGCCTGGCGCGCGACATTGGCGATAAAGGGTACTACATGCGGGTGACCGACAGAAGCCTCCCCGTGAAGTGGATGGCTCTGGAGGCGCTCACGGAGCGTTACTACACTACGCAGTCAGATGTTTGGTCATTTGGTGTCTTGTTGTGGGAGATAGTCACCATGGGCGACACACCGTACGAAGATGTGCATAGCGTCACGAACCTGATCTCCAAGCTGAGGACGGATGAGCGGCTTCCGCGGCCTAGGGGATGCCCTCTGCAGCTTTTCGACACCATGCTGCATTGCTGGAGCCTTGAGGGCCACCAGCGGCCTACTTTCGCCGAGCTGGTTGATAGGCTCAGCACCATGGTGGAGGAGCTGTCACCCCGAGACTACATGGGCATGGCGAGCGGCCCGCATCAGCAGCCACCGACTCCTGGCTGCCCGCCGCCAATGCAGCCTTATGTAAACGTGGATGGGCCCGCTGCAGATGCCACCGCCGAGGGTGATGATGGCGAAAAGGAGAAGGGGGTGCCGGAGGCTCGGCAGTGCAGCAATGCACCAGGAATGATGCCGTGAGTTCAGGGGATGAAGACCATCAGTGCATATCGACTGACGTGCTTGGCGACGTAGGTCCGAAACGAGGCGGTAACTAGCATTCGTGTTTGTTTTGAATAACGAAAATGTGGTGTGTATTGACGATCTGTGGCCATTCTTATAAAGAAAACGGAGGGACGCTCCGTCATTTCTGAGATTAGACGGAATTTGGTTATCATAAAAGGACGAAGACAAAAGACGGAACCCGTTAAAAGAACGAAGCCAGATTGACGCTACCCCCACCCAAAAGGACGCGTTTCCGTATCATAAAGAGACAAAGACGCCTCTGGTGACGTAAGACTTTGCGTTGTTCGTGAAAAATAACGCATCAGAAATAGCGCTGCTCTTCAGCAGCGCTTTTTTACGGCATTGATACGATATTTAGCATCATCATCATCATCATTTATTTCTTAAAGACTTCCACTCACCGTGGCTCTTACGTCTTTGCGTCAGTACACAGGAACACAGACGATTGAACTATGTATAGTTAAAACATGGTCGAGTTAAAACAAAGCGACATTAAAAACTCTAAAACAAATATATATCACATATCATGCTCACCATCTAATCGGTTCTAGTAAAATGACCTCTAGCCATTCTGCGACACTTTGCGGCGGTGCTAGCTTCCCTGATTTCTGCGGGCGCGCTGTTCCACTGTGCCGCGGCTCGGGAGTTGAAAAACTTCCGAGCGTGCTCGGTGCGGACTCGCGGCAACTGCAGCTGACCGGCATCGGTCGCTCTCGTGTCTCGCACTGACACAGTGTCGCGATACACAACGCGCTGACGCAGACTGGCCGGCGCCTGGTCGTTATACAGTATGCTGTGCATCATGGCCATGTCACGCTCAGCCACCAAAACATCCACGTTCGGCCAGCTCAATTCACTCAGTATCTCCGATACATGGGCAGATCGCGGAACACCCTTCACTATCTGCGCACAGTGGTTGATAACCTTTTGAATACGCTGCCTCTGAGTTGTCCCACATCCGGCCCAGACTGACATGCAATAAACTAAATGGGGAAAAACTAAAGATTCGATTATCATTTTCTTCACCTCCTCCGGGAGAGACCGCGCCAATTTTGCGAGACCACCCATGGTGGCATAACAGCGACGAATAACGGTTGACACCTGAGCGTCAAATGACAGATTACTGTCCAGTGTCATACCGAGAACTTTGACAGCGGGTGACAGAGGAATTTCAGCATTGCCGAAATTGATCGTGAAGTTATGGTTCAGTTGACGCCTTTTGGACTTAATTAACACCAGATCTGTTTTTGTAGGATTAATTTTTAGGCTGTTTGCAGTGAACCATCGGTGAGCTGTGTTGACCGTGTGTTCCACTCTCTGCTGGAGATCCAAAATATGACGCGGTTGACCCTGATGGAGAAACTGCACGTCGTCGGCGTACATTACAATTTTGCTATCCTCAAGGTATGACGGTAAATCGTTTGTAAAAATTAAAAACAAGATTGGCCCGATTAATGATCCCTGGATTACCCCATGAGTGATTTCTAGCAGTGTTTCCCCTCCCCTTGTCCTCTGAAAACGATTTTCAAGCCAGTTACTGAACCAGTGGTCCTGAATGCCATACCAGGCAAGTTTCTCTAGCAGTCTGGAATGTTGCACACTATCAAAAGCTTTTGATGTGTCAGCTGTTGTTAGGCACCCAATATATCCCTTATCCATGCCGTCCATGAGATATCCTACCGTGTCCAGCATCGCTGACTCTGTGCTGCGCCCCGGCCGAAAACCATGCTGAACATCAGTGAGAACCGAGTGTGCTATCAAATACTCCAATAGCTGGGAGCTGACGACACTTTCTACTAATTTTGCTACCACCGGAAGAATAGACACAGGCCGGTAGTTGTTAGGTTCCGAAGTGCTCCCGGACTTATGGATGGGGACAACTGTGGCACGCTTCCATTCTCCCGGTAGTACACCCGACACAAGTGACGCGTTCACAACCTCGAGTACATGTGGTGCGATCACAGACCAAGTCATGCGTAACATGCCAATAGTCACTCCGTCCTCTCCACATGCCTTCGACGACGACATCCTGCCCAGCGCCGCGGCGAGTTCCGGCAGCGCGGCTGGTCTCACCCGGTAGGCACCGGCCACCACGCGCGGCGGGCGCGGGGGGAGGGGCTCCGAGTCGCGCTGGGTCGCCTCTAACTCTGCCGCGACTCTCGGCCCCACAGACGCGAAATATCCATTCAGTCTGTCGGCCCAGCCGGCCTCGACCCCCGCCGCGTCAGTAGGCGTCAGTCCTCCCTTCGGCGCGATCAGAAACCGGCGGATATCTTTCCATGTCGTTTTGCGTGCGTAGCGGTACGATGAGACGAAGAAGTTGGCTTTAGCGCGGCCGATAGCCTGCTTTACGCCGTTACGGCACCGCCTGTAGTCGCCCGTCGTCTCCGGTGCACTCTGTTTGAACTCTGTTTGAACAAGGATGCACTCTGTTTAGAACTTCTGCTGGCCGATTGGTCCCGCCTGTATGAAGCCGACTCCATCAGTCACATGTGGAACGGTTTCCTTGACACGTGGCGCCCCATATTGGATCGACACATGCCGCTACGGACGGTCAGGATTCGGCAGCGGTGCTATCCATGGCTTGAAGATGAGGCCGTCCGGGAGGCCATGGCTGCACGGGACCTGGCTCGCTTCGACCGCGATCGTACCCCGTGTGATGAGACCCAGAGAGAGTTCCGAACTCGGCGCAATGCAGTGAAGGTGGCGCTGAACAGAGCCAGCGCCACCTACTTTGCCACATCATTCCGCAACCCTCGCGGGCTAACGTGGAAACACATCAGGCGCTACCTGGTATCATCAAAGAAGGCTCAGCCGAGGACGACGAGCTCTGCACAGGTGGATTCCGAGTGGGCCGGCAGGCTGAACCGGTTCTTCGCGTCGGTCGGTCCGGATGTGGCGGAGACGCTGGCCGAACGGGACTCAGGCGATCCGCTCCCGCCCCGACCGCCGCGTGTTTGCAGCGGGGCATTCTCGCCCCACCCTGCTACACTCCCCGAACTCTCCGTGGCGCTGCAGCGCACGAGTTCTAGCCGCGCCTGTGGATCCGACGGCATAACCATAGAGATGTTGAAAATGACCTTTCCAGTTGTCGGTCCTCACCTCTTAAAACTTGTGAACACGTCTATTAGTCATTACGACCTACCTTGTGCCTGGAAAGTTGCCACAGTCGTGCCGTTGCACAAAAAGGGAGCTAAAGACGATCCCAATAACTATCGCCCGATCAGTGTGCTCCCAGTCGTGTCAAAGTTGTGCGAGCGCGTTGTATGCACGCAACTCATGTCATATCTGATTGAGCACCATCTGCTTTGTCCGCAACAGTACGGGTTCCGGCCGGGTTTGCACGCAACTCATGTCATATCTGATTGAGCACCATCTGCTTTGTCCGCAACAGTACGGGTTCCGGCCGGGTTTGTCCACGGAGGCGGCCCTGCTCGACGCTGTCACTTACACTGTCAACAACATCGACAGGGGCCTGGTGACGTCACTTGTCACTGCCGACACGTCCAAGGCTTTTGACAGCGTCGAGCACGGCCGTCTTCTGGACAAGCTCGGCTGGTACGGGATCGACAGCCGGTGGTTTGCAGCCTGGCTGAGCGATCGATCTCAGACTGTGACTGGTGCTCCTGACTTTTTGAACGTCACCCACGGTGTAGTCCAGGGATCAATTTTAGGACCGATTTTATTTATTATATTTACTTCCGATTTACCACAACACGTGCCTCACTGTAAACTTGTTTCGTACGCTGATGACTGCCAGTTTCTTGACGCTGGAACCTTTTCTGAGACCGAAACGCTAAAAAGTCGTGTAGAAAGCACCCTCGCAACAGTCCTGGCCTGGTTCACTCAAAATCGTCTCAAAATCAACCCAAGTAAGACTGAGATGCTTATTTTAAAATCTCGACGTCAGACTGTGAACACCAACTTCTCTGTTTGCTTTGGCGATGATGAAATTTTGCCCTCTGACAGCGTCAAAATTTTGGGCGTCACCTTAGACCAGCACTTGGCCTGGAACGAGCACGTTTCCAATGTCGTCCAGCGCTGTAACATGATCTTGATAGGAATCGCTAGACTGCGGCACAAACTACCAAAATGTACACGGCAACTTCTCGTACAAGCGCTTGTGTTTCCTCATATTCGGTATTGTTTGACTGTGTGGGGCAGTTGTTCGGCTTCACTTAAAGCACGAGTTCAAAAAGCTATCAATTTTGGCGTTCGCATCGTTTCGGGACTGTCACGGCGAGACCACGTGACACCGGCGCTTAGAGAGCTGGGATGGCCCACAGTCGATGAGATGGTGCATGAGCGGGACATCGCTGCCATATGTCGCCTTCTTAACCCTGCATGTGGGGCTGAGGCACTGACTGGGCAGCTGATCCACCGAAGCGATGTCTCGGGCCGCCAAACCCGAGCGGTGGCCAACGGCCTGCTCCAGCTACCGAGAGTGAGGACCGAGTTTGCGCGGCGCAGCTTTACGTATCGCGCGATTTCCACATGGAACAATAGGTGATTTATGGTCGTGTGTTGTGTAGTGTATATGTTGCAGGCACTTTAGAAAATCAGTCATTTTGTAAAATACCTAGGCATTTTACAAAAAGACGGCTGTTTGAAGAATGACTGAACGCAACCAGGCATTTTTCAAAATGGCTAGCCATTTTACAAAATGACTAGGCATTTCGCAAAATGCCTGACCAGCATGGAACGTAGATCCCACTACAGATACTATGGCCAACAGTTTTTGGACGTCTTCCTATACCCTATAGGTACGTGTTCAGCCTGTAGCTGATCGATTTGAAGCTCTGTGATAACGACAATGCTGAGTAACGACCAGGTTGAGTTGCAGACTCGGCTGTAGCATAAAGCATTGTTTAGTTAACGCTGTAAAACTCCCAAGTATATCAACGCCGTTCATGAAACTAAACCTGAAACTAGACCTAACAAAACCAGCCGGAGACCGGCCCTAGTCAATAGGCAGGCCCGGTTGATGTACAATTACATGTAAACGAATGAGTGTAGTCTTTGTTTGATTGTGCCATTACGGACAAAACTGCATTATGCATTTGGACATTAAAAACACGTTCGAACTTAATTATAATTTCCCACTCCTTCTCTCTCATCCTCACATTTTAACACGCGCAGTGGAAGGGGGGAGGCGGATTCCGCCCACCCCTCCTGTTTTTCGCCAATAACTCGCGCGGCATGGTTTTCTTTAGGTTTTCTTCCTAACTTTTCTTTGGAATAAAAAAGCTCTCTGATCACAATGAATATTAAAGCAATAATTAACAGAACACGATTAATTTTGCTCTGTGGCAACAGCTTTGAGTACCTACTTGCATGGTCCCAGTTAAAAATATCAGCTCCACATCGGGAGAATCGTCAGGTCGCTTGGCGTAGGACGACAGCGTTGGTTTCAGAAGACACTAACGCCTAAGTGTGTGGGATCGAATCCTCGCGACCTCTAATAGTTTTACAGATACAGGCCGGCATAGGGCCAGTCGTTTGTTGACGCTCCAGATCGATCATTTTAAATCCAGCAGCGTCGCTGACGTGGGGGTTGGAAATGTCGCGGGCCTGCACTTCTCAAAATAGAGGTAGGTATGGACTTCCCACTGCTGGACTCCTCTGGTCATAATGCTGGACTCCTCGGTCCACCTACACGCTACCAAAACGTACGTGATTAGGTACTCGTATCTACAACACACTGCTCAGTCTTTTTGTAAAATGGCTAGGTATTTTGTAAAATGCCTAGGCATTTTGCAAAATGACTGGAGAGTCAGTCATTTTGTAAAATGCCTAGGCTTTTTGCAAAAAGCCTGGAAAATCAGGCATTTTGCAAAATGCCTAGGCATTTTACAAAATGACTGATTTTCTAAAGTGCCTGCAACATATATACTTTTATTTGTGTTTTTAGTGTTATAGCATTTTGTTTTTATCTCCTTTTACGCATGTTTACAATGGTGTGTTCAAGGTCGTTTACCGGTTGTCATGTATTTTACCTTTTATCTTGTGTGATTGACGTGCATGCCACAAAATCCATGCCAGTGGAGGCATCTAATAAACTATCTATCTATCTATCTATCTATCCGGTGTCGGGTTGTCCTGCTGTGCTGCGCGGGCCAGGTCCCTCTCCCGCATCAGTGCACGCACCTCCTCATTATCGGTTAGCCAGGGGCAGGGGCGTATTTGGAATTTCCGACCTCGACGAGCGTCTGTGGTAGAAAACCACCACTTTGGTAGGGGAAACTACTGCTGTCTGCTACAATTTGCACTGCATGTCAAGCTATAGTAGCGACATCTATGCATCTACATTTCCGACCTCGACGAAAATCTCGCGGCGCTTCGCGCCGACCCGCGCCGCCCATTCATACTGGAGACCAAAAGAGATTATGAGTTCAGAGTTGTGACAAATACCTAAAGCAACCACCACGTATGATGTATACATTAACAGTTAACTATCAGATTGACGGCATGTGTTAACAATTATACCCTGATAGAAGACCGGAGGCTCTGGTTAACCGTTTAAAAATGAATACTTAAGACGCGTACCGCGTAGGAATTCAGCCCAGTATCGTTGAACAGATAATGCATCGGCCTGAAAAGGTACGGCAACGATACCTAATTTTGGGTTTTTAGTCGGCCGATCCGTCCCCCTGTCGAAAATCTGTGGCGACGCCCCTAGTACGTAGGACAAAAGTACGTATCGCAAATGTTGGTACAGTATAAAGTACGCATGGACAAAACTACGTCAAGGACAAAAGTACGCATGGCAAAAGTACGTACAGTATAAAGCACGAATGGATAAAAGTACGTCAAAGACAAAAGTACGTATCGAAGAAGTACGTAGGTACATTATTAAGTACGCATGGACAAAAGTACGTCAAGGACAAAAGCACGCATCGTAAAAGTGCGTACAGCATGAACTACGTATGGACAAGAGTACGTCAAGGGCAAAAGTACGTATCGCAGATGTACGTCGAGTATAAAGCACGTATGGAATAAGTACGTCAAGGACAGAACTAGAAGTACGTATCGCAGAGGTAGGTACGTACAGTACAAAGCACGTATACCTAGACAAAAGTACGTCAAAGACGAAAATACGCATCGAAAAAGTACGTAAATTATAAAGTACGTATATCGCTAAGGTACGTACCCTTGCTGACTTGCATAGATGTCGCAATCGGTCGCAACTACATGAGACATGCAGTGCAAACGGTAGCAGACAGCAGTAGTTTCCCCTACCAAAGTGGTGGTTTTCTACCACAGACGCTCGTCCAGGTCGGAATTTCCAAATACGCGGGGCAGGGCGGGTGCCGCGGCCTGATAGTGACGACCGGCATGTGACGGTCGAGCACGGGCGTCCACACCGCCAGCCAGGCCTGCCACTTAGCCGCCGGCTCGGCCGCGCTGTACACCGCGTCCCAGTCTGACAGGAGCAGCTCCATACACAGCGAGTCCGGCACGAGAGATCGGGTAGATGGCACGGTGATCTCGGCCGGTCGTCGGCGCTCCTTTGTGAGTGGTGTCTCGGCGATGACGATGTCGTGGTCGCTCCAGCTGCATGGAACGACGGTCGCTGTCGTAACGGCGTCTGATGCTCGAACGATGACGTGGTCGAGCGCCGTCCCCGACACGGGGCGTGTCGGAACCGACACTAGCTGCTTAACGTTTACGTCCTCTAATACCTGAGAGTATCGCCGGACGTCAAGCTCAGCCAGCCGCAGCCAATCGAAATTAACATCGCCAAGCACATACAGGGGTTTATCGGTACCGCATACATGCGCTAACTGACTCTGCAGGTCGTCTAACACAGCAGTCACGGGCGCGCTAGGCGGTCGGTACATGATACCTATTACCACTGTAGTAGTGCTACACAAGCTCAGCCAGAGTGACTCCAGCGGCGAGCCGGTGCTAGGAACTGTCAGCACCTCCACTCTCAGAGACTCTCGGTACAGCACGCACACTCCCCCTCCCCTTCGGTCACCACCTCGGTCGCGTCGTATCACCTTATACCCAGGGAATATGAGAAAACTGTCATCGACAGACGGACTCAGCCAGGTTTCACTCACTCCAAGCAAGTCCAAGTTCTGAGCGCCGAGTGTCAGTGTCACGTCATCGATGGATGGTAGGAGTGAACGGGCGTTCACGTGTCCGATCCGTAAGGGTTGACGGGCCGTGCCGTTCCCGTACGGCCGCGGCCGGCGACCGCCGCCCTCCCCGCGCTCAGGGGCGGTTCCAGGCCTGGCCGGCTCCGGCGCCCTGCCCAGCGGCACCCGCTCAGGGCACGCTAGAACTCGGGGCGGCAGGGCGGTCGCAGCCACCGGGCGTCGGCAGGCGTCTCGGTCGGTGCGGTGTCGTCGTTGCTGGTGTCGGCGGCCGGATCGGCAGCCGCGGCTCCTTCTCCCTCTCCTTGCTGGCGGCTCGGGTCGTCTGCTCGGCAGCGCCCCCCTGGACCAGGGCCTGAGACCGGGCCTGATGCTCCACTCGGGTCGCAGAGCCGGTGGTCCATCAAGTGGACCCTGTCTAGCGAGTGGACCGGCTGTCCACTGCTGCCCGCTCCGGTAGATTGGTCGGAGGGTCCGGGATTGGTCCCGCCGGTCCGGTAGCCTCTCCGGAAACCGGTAGAATACGGCGCCGCCGGGCGTGACCCGCGCCATGTCAGCCGAGCGGGCATGATTTGACGACAGTTGAAACGGTAATTACTGCCACAGGATCGCGGTAGCGGCCTCGAAAATCATGGCAACACAAAGCTGCAGGTTGCGAGAGCAACTTGTGCGAAATGTGTTTCAGGCTGCATGCTAATCGATATGTGAACTGTATGACATTGGTCGGGAGTTATTTCACACGAAAATTAGTCAATTTGACATGCAGACCAAGTACCTACCTATAGACCGCCACCTTATCGTTCTGCAGCTATCGTTGTTTATCAGGCATACACATTAACAGGCAGGATTGGACACCTTGAGATGCAATATCCAGTAAGTGGTAGGTGTTAACTGTTTGCAACTGCCTCCCAGTAGCTCCACCCTCACCTGACCTGTGTCCTGTGTCCTCTGGCGCCTCGACTGGTATCACGGTTGGAGGTCTGAGTCACGTGGCACTACAACTTCTCGTTAGCACTTAAAGTTCTTGTTTGCACGCAGAGAAATTCGTATACACTCCGCCAGGCCCAAGCGCTCTCGCTGGACTGTCCTCGCTGTCCCCACACGGCCATTTCTTCCCCCGCTCCCCCTCCCCCCTCTTTAGCGTCAGTTCGTCAAAACAACACCTGCGCCCCCCGTCTCTCTCTCTCTACCTACTCCTTCCCTCTCCCCCCTTTCATCCCGAGCCGCCGCCCGCATTCGCCGCGCGCCGCGTCGTCCCCTAGAGCGATAAGATGCCTTATCAGTATCCCCTCCTCTTTTATCTCTACCGCCTGTCCCAAGCCGCCACGCTAACTCAGGGTGTCTGCGTTGTTCCCTTACCGCTTATTAGACATCCTATCACTGAGTAAGACATAGGCATTACCACAATTATACGCAAAAACAATCTTTGGTGGGTTTCAGCCTAGCAGGAAAGACTACAACATATTACATACTTCGCCTATCTATTCTATATTATCCTTGATCGTAGCCAAGCCTATGTATCGTAGGCCGTAGCAGACAACAGCCCCCGGTCCCATAAAAATTCAAATATGATCCCAATTAATTGCAGGTTCTCATTTTATTATACCTATATAGCGATCACACAGTATTTTCTTAGTCTTATTGCATTCTTTGTGACGAAATTTATAAGAAAATATTGCAGGAAATAATTCCTGTTTCATTTACTAAAGCTCTTGATCATTTAGACGAAAAACGCATCCTAGCAAAACAACGAAGGGGGAGGGGTAGAGGGACGGAACCTTTATGATAACCAATAAGGACGGAATCGTTTAATTCATTGAGTTCTTTTTTCCTTCCGTCCCTCCGTCCTTTTTCTTTATAAGAATGGCTTCTGATGTAAAGAGATACCTTTTTTGCATTTAAAATCGGCAATTTTCCAACAGAGTTCGGCTTATTGCAGTGAATTTCGTCACTTCGCACACATTTTGAATCGGGACAGCTCACTTGAACATCTGCACGGTACCTAATGCATGTAGATTGTAGGGCACATCAGCTCGATGCCAGTCTGTATATCGACAAGGGGCATCCGTTAAGTGTCTATTCCAGTAATCCCTTGAAAAAGCGGCTACCCCCCCCCCCCCCCCTATGGGCTATGGCCAGAGCAAAATGTTCATAAATCTTCAGCGGCAACACAACATTTTACAAAAGAAGCCATCACTTGCTTATCATGTACCTATTCATATATAATTTGTTCAATATGCCTTCATACGCGGTCAAGGAAGGGCATGACATATCAACCTTTTTACAAAAGCGACCCATCTGCACTCCTTGTCAGGCAGACCATCCCTCCCTCGTGTTGAACTTGAGTCCGGTGGCCCAGCGACCCGCGTCTTAGGGCCGCCGAGTGGCAGGCGGGTCAGCGAAATACAGGAATCGAACAATAACAGACGTGTCCGTCTGGTGAAGCTGCAGCAGCCGTTACACGGTGCGACTGTCGGTCTTCCCCGTGACCTGGATTATATCTCTTCACCATTTCACAGTCGATGCCGCTCCACTGGGCGAACACGCCCCCTGTCGTTCAATTCCTGTATTTCGCTGAGCCGCCTGCCAGCCGGCAGACATCAGACGCGGGTCGTTTGGCCACCGGACAGATACATGTTCGGGGATAGGGGATGGTCTGCCTGACATCCCTGTGCAAACTCTGTGCAACAGATCAGCAAAACCTGCCGGCAGCGTTCGCTCCGAAACCGCTCAGAAAGACAAAGAGTGAAGTCTCCCGTGTATCAAACCAAACACGTTTCTTAACCCGGCAGTTGCTGGGGTATTTCGCCACCCACCGTTCGCTGGGGGGGGGGGGCGTTAAACGCCCCCAGCCGATAACTCGAGAACCAATAGGCGCAGCGAAACGCACTAGGCGGCAAACGAAAGAACGCGACGAGACGCTTCAGATGAGTACTTTAAAGTTGAATTTTGAGGTCACAGGTCGGGTCAAGGTCAGGTCAAACACCTGAAATCGGCCTTTCAGTAGCATGGACTTCAGGACTTCGCAATGGGCGCCTCTCGTCATAAACTCTGTCAAAACGGTGCACAATCCATCATATAAGGCCTACAAGAGTGTCAGCTCCATGTAGGGGTCAGTCAAGCATAGGTTAGGATCAAGGTCAGGTCAACCGGGTAGGCATATATCCCCGAAAATCAAAACTGATATTCGCAGCCCGTGACACATGTTTTATGGGTAATTTGGGGCGTAGAACACGATGGTGACATTCATTTTATCATATGTGTACGTGTTTGGCTAAAAAAGTTCAATTTAAGAAATGCATGTATCATGGTCGTGAAGTAGTTACGAGAAATTGTCAAGATTCAGTTCAAGATTTTGGAAAATGCGGAACGATAATCAATAATCGAAGATAGCCATTTGATTGTTCATGGTATCGGCAGTCTAATGGCGTTTACGGCATGTCTGTATGTCTATTCTGTGATTTTATGATTTTTTGAACATATGCCATTTTTGGTCGAAAATTCAGAAATCATGACGTCACTTAAACCTCGATATCTCAAAAATTTTCCGACCGATTTTTTTGAAACTTTGTCACAATAAACTTCAATCAATTCCCTACAGGTACCCAAAATTTGGCGCGCCTGCGGCGCGCCGTTTTTAGGCTATGGCCCGTTGACAAAAGTGGGGGCGTTTAACGCCCCCCCCCCCCCCCCAGCAACTCGCGGGTTAACAGTCAGTGGGTATTGGGTACACAGGGAATGGTTCAGCAAGGTGAGATGAGCACAAAACTTCTCGATAAGGGTATTGGGGCTCCCACACAGTGACATTGGAGTTTCGCTGCCCCCCCCCCCCACTTTTCGTGACGTTCCTACGCCCATGCCTCATAAAGGTTCACGCGAGGTTACCGGAGGTCACTAACAGTCTTCTGTCATTACGTGGATAGACTCGAGATAGGGACGTGGAAATGGTTTCACTGCATTTTTCTCGTCCAGACGCATCGTCTGATATGCATCATTACCCACTTTGACCTACTTGGGCCATCACGTTGTTGTTGCACTCACTCACTCACGATCCATAGCCAAGCACTCAACAATTTTCAAATTGATCTTTCAACAGTATCAGGTCGATGCCTCGAACCAGCTTTACGAGAGAAACACGATAGACCGACAGTTTTTCCATGGCTTTATCAGACGAAGATTTTCAGGATAAGACTATTTCGGTAAATAGGTATAGATGATTTTGACCTTGGTGACCGCTGGAGTCTAAACTGTTGACCTTCAGTCAAATCTGAGACCACACTTCAGACTGATTCAATGGTTTTATTGTTGTTTTTTTATAATTGAATCTAGCTTTAATTCTACTTTCTGAGATAAATTGCGACACCACAGGTAGATAAGTATAGAGAAATGTATATTACCGAGGCTACACATGGTTTAAAAAACATAATGCGTACAAAAATCACATACCTTTACCTAGGCATATCTCCGCTTTCAAGCCCTTTCAAGCCCTCCGGGGCAGCACAGTGAGGACCGAGAGCGTGTCACGCGTCTCTCCGCACGACAGCCGTCCGCAGGGGTCGGTGGTGGTGGCTGTGTCGGCGGATCAGCCATTGAATCGAGTGGCGGCCTCGCAACTGGCTCTTCCGGTGCCTGGAGTGGCGGAGGGATCCTGGCTGCTCTTAGTTTTGTATTTAAATCAAAAATACATATTTTACTTTAAAAATTGCTGAAAAATAAATGTTCTTACGCCTATGTTACGAGGTCGCAGGTAGTCATCACGACTGCAACTTAGCTATCACGAATGATATGGCGGAACATGGCCATGTTGGCACCGGGTCAATGTCGTGCGTATTATCGAAAAAGAGAGCATTTGAATATTTCCCAATTGACTTACAATGGGGAGGTCACCAAAGTCACCTGACGTTAGGTCACTGGTATACATAATCAGAGATATACGAATTATTGATGCAGATGGCCACATATTACCTTGAAAGTATCAAACTGATCGGTTGAGATTTGAGAACTGCGTCCACGGTACAGCCACAAAGTTGCAATAAACGTTTTACGTTTGACCTGACCTTTCGCCAGTCAAAAATTTCATACAAGGTGTGTAATCTAATTCCGGTCAGGTAATGAAAATTTGGCAGCTACGTGCCGCCGTTCTTCACTAGCCTCGAAAAAAAAAAACAGGAGGGGATGGCAGATTTTGCCACCCAGCCCTTCCAGTGCGCGTGTACTCACGTGTTGACCCAAGTAGGTCATGTTGTACATCAGTCGATACGCTGGGACGTGCCCAACTTACGTGTGTTTTTCAAGTTTCTAGCTCAATTCAATTGGGAAATATTGACCAAAAACCACCGGTGACTTCAGGTGTTCTACCACGAACTTTCGAGGTGTCACGGATCAAACATTTAGGTACTTTACACTTTATTTAACGTTTGCACCTTTGGCATTCTTCGAACCCAACTTGTCCACAATTCCATAGCCCACACTGCCACGACGCCGAGGTCGCCACTGCCAGCTCCTGCACGGGCACTCGCAGACACTCAGTCCCCGAAACGGTCGCTGGCGTGACCGGGCCCGGGGCGATGGCGAGGGAGCGGCCGGCTCGCCGTGTGAGACCAGCTGCCGGTTCTGGGGTTGCGACCC